TCTCGTTTTTTAATCTCTCTTATTGCTCTTTTTAATGATTATGTAGTATATGCAAACAACAAGCTTTAAATTTATTGTTCAAATTGCCATATTTTTGCCATTGAGTAGCCATAAGTCAATCAATTAAACTTAAAACCAGGCAAAAACTAAAAAAAATGTAGCAATGCAACAGTTCATAAGGTTTTTTTTTTTTGTGAAAGAAACAATTTCATTGATGTAGCAACAGTTCATAAGGTTTAGGGTAAAAATAATTTCAACTTGAAACTTCAGTAGTCATTACATAATATCATCAATAATAAAGGTTATATCATAACTCAATTAAGAAAAACTATAAAAGTATTACTACTTAATGATGAGGGAGATTCAGAGAATTCAAACATGAAGGAAAAGCAAACCTTTCTCCATGGTGAGATTCACCAAAGAGTTAACTTCATTATTTAGGAAATTTCGCAAAAGGTGGCAACTTTTGAGTTCAGGACTTTGTAAAGTTGGTGGGGTTTTCTGCAATTTACATGCACAGAAATGCAACCAATTTGTTAATCACAGAGAAATCCTCTTGAATAAAGGCATTCAGGACAAACGCATTGCGGAAGCTGTAAGGTTACACTGCAAACCTGTTCTCCAAAAACCTTTAAGCCCCATATGGATGTATCTTCCTCACCCCCTAGTTGGCTCATCTACACAAAACATTCTTAGATCATAAGTGAAGGAAGGCTAAGAAAACTCCAGAAAAATTCTGCTCCTAGGCATTTCTTACCTTATTTTGGCATTCATCAACAACTTGGGACACCACAGCCTCTTTGCCAAAATCATCATCATCCGAATTATAGTTCTTTTTCTTCTTTGCCTGTCTAGATTCTTTCTCAACGAGTTTGCATTTATCCTTGTAGTGATCAGTCAGAAGATCATCTAACCCGATAATCATTTTCCTGATTGGTATAAAAAATAGACGTCAACAGCCTCTCAAACCACTTGTTCCAGAAGCATTTGTACTCGGACTCAGAGAGGTAGAACTTCACGTTTACTAAAACTAACAAATCAAAGTTGCAAAGAAGGCACAACCACAACAATGGCTACTTCTTAGCTCCCTTTATATAAAATTTATGCTACTGTCGAACTGCTACAGATTTTTAAGCTTCAGTTCACAGATTTGAACGGAAAACAGTAGAGAAACAAGACAATAATATAAGAGAGAGATAATATGAAACTTCCAATTTACAAGAAATATTCACGGAACAATCCTTGGAACAAACCGAATCAGACAAACCCCAGTGAAAGTAGAGCAAGAAGAAAATTGAAACATATGTCCTAAGCCCCCATATGGGCTTAGGTTTGGAAAGGAAAAACACGAAATAGAGGATTCTGAGATATTGAGACCTCTTCTTGAGAGCGACAGGGGAACTGAGAAGCGGGTCTTCTGACTCGAAATCTAAAGGACCATCCATTTCCAAGACTTTCAATCACTCGCTCTCTCTCCAATGGCTCCGGAATTTTCAAAGAAGAGCGCCAAATTGGAAGCAGTGCACTTAAAAAAGCTTCGGACTGGTATACATAAGAAGACGGAGAAGAACGCGAAAATGGACAAAAAAAGCTTGTGTAGGTGTCTCTTAAATTTTTTAATCGTGCTTCTCAAAACATCACTCTTGACATCACCAACCGATAAATGACCTTT